AGAACCTCGCTTCTCTCATCGCCTAGTATATAGTAGTATGGTGGTAAGGCAGGCTTCCCGGAGTCTCGCTTCTCTTACCACCTAGTATACATATAGATATAGCGATGAGGCAGGCTTCTTAGAGTCTAGCTTCTCTCATCGCCTAGTATATATGTGGTATTCTTGACGCCCAGTCCCACTCCTTGATCATCCGGAAGCCTTTACGACCATATTAGGTGGGTCACACGACAATGTTGCACGCTGGATGCGGTCGGGTTCGACCCAGGCCGCGGCCAGCGGCCTAGGCCGGGACCCCCCCCGGCCGCGGCCACTCCGGCCGAGTTTTTTCGGCCTCGGCCTCAACCGATCTGGGGGGCGGCTTTCGAAGTGAAGAGCGGGTTTGGGGTGGGGGGGCACCCCCTCAAAGTGACAGAGCGTCAAAAAAAATGAAAAGCGGGGGGGTCCTGCACATGGCCCTGGAAGGGTGGCCCGCGAAAATTCGTGCGTCCCCCGCGTGCGGGTTCTTCCATGCGGGGTCGCAGGGGAGAGGGTCTGAAACACTATGAAAATAAAAAAAAAAAAATTTGACCCCTGTGGGGGCGGCCCAACGTGGGTTGGATGAGGGCCTGCTTGGGGCGGCCCGTGCAGCCAAGTTGGGTCGAAGCTGGACGGGGCTGCAGATGGCAGACCCCAGGCGGATCAGGGCCTCAGACACTGAAAGGCAGACGTCGGTTTCATTCGTGAGGGTGATGACAGTTCGTGACATATTTTGAAACAACACATTCATGTCAATCATAAGTCAGACCCTTGTTGGCATACCAAAGTCAAAACACATTCAAAATCAATCACAGTGCGACGAACCATAAGTTTCAAACAATGTTAACAGACAAGTGTGTCATAGTGTGTGTTCACTCATCAGATTGGTGGAAAATTAAAAAAAAACACATTCATTAGCACATCATCCCTATGTCGCATCTGAAATTAACAGCACATTCATATTGGAGGCATCCATGACATGCAGGTGCGTGTCATCGGAGAAGCACATAATTTGCAACAATCACGACAACAAACCAGAAACCACTCACCAAACAACAGCGACTCAGATGCAAGACCAATGTTGGTAAAGGAACACGAACAAAAGCAAATATATGACAAAGCATTTCAATGGAAATGCGCATGTACAAGGCTGAAGCCAAAAACTGGACCCGTCGTCTCTACTGTACAACCGAGTAGCAAAAAAAAACAGGACCCTATGTACAAGGCTGAAGCAAAAAAATGGACCCGTCGTCTCTACTGTACAACCGAGCAGCAAAAAAAAAAAAAAAAAAAAAGACCTAATGTCCACATACTGTCGTCGTCTCCATGGAATAACATCAACATAAATATGCAACAACCCTGCCGACAGAGCGTCCAGGCTGTACAGCCACGCAAAAAAAAAAAAAAACTAATGAAAAAAATAAAAATACCACGGACGTTGCATCTCCCTCCAGAGCGCGCGTGGCCTCTCCCAGAGGACGGGCGGCCATGCGGTCCTTCCCGGCGCCCTCCTCTCCCTCCGGCACCTGTGCCCCGTGCCCCGCTGAGGTATGCCGCCTGTGCTGCAGCGGCTGCCGCGGTCACCGCGGCCACCTGTGCCCTGTGTCTACGGGCCGCAGTCTCGATCGCCTCGGACTCTGTGTCTGCGTCCTCGTCCTCCGTCGCCCGTGCAACAATCATCATCTCTCTCTCCCTCTGAATCACGTCCAATGCTGCCTGGCCAACGGCGATCCCTGCCGCGAGTCGAGCCTCAACCTCCGAGAGGCTATGCTGTCGTCTCTTCCCGGGACGCATCAACAACCCCTCCTCGCCCGATGTGAACTGCTCTCCCCGCAGCATGTCCATGGATGTCCCTGCGGCCTCGAGGACCAATGATCTCCTCGTCTCCGCTCGTGACAAACCGAGCATGAGGCCTGCCATCTGCAGGCTCGGAGCCCGGACCCACCCTCCGCAGCCTGCGTCTGAACTGGCGTACGTCCCGTGACGACGCCCCTCCCGTCGTCGTAATCCGCCCGCAACCGGTCCCCGACCCGACGAACAGCTGACCATCCGCCACCCACACCACCTCAGACTGTCGGCAGGGATCCGCCACTGTGCGCAACTCCGGGTGCCGCCGTCCGGTCCCCGGTGTCGACCTTGCCCTCCGGAGTCCGTGCGGGCGGTGGAGGCATCGATCCTGCACTATCTCTGTCGCCGTCGCTGCGTCTGCTGGACCCCACCTCACCCACTCCGGACTCCCTCCCTCTCACGCCGCTGAGCGACGAACCCGACCAGTGAGGGCTCTGCACCACGAACGACGGCGATGAATATACCCTCCCAGGGGCCCGCCTCTTGCCGCTCTTGCGGCTCACGTATGCGAAAGGGTCATCCGTCAACGCTTGGGCCAAAGTGTTGACGTCGAAGAAAGTGTGCGCTGTGTCGTCAGGGCGCAAGGGAGGTACTGTGGGGTCCCTCAACGCCAAGGCGAGCCTATCCTCATCGTCCTCGGGACCGTGGTCGTCGTCATCATCTCCGTCCGGTCCATCGTCTCCACCGACACCCGCGGTATCCCCATCTCCACCGGGTCCACCCTCTCCTCTGCCACACACGGCGCCACCTTGTCCCTCATCACCCGCGGTCTCGCTGTCGCCACGTCCCCCACTAGGGGACCCACCGCCCACGACAAAATCCTGCCCCTCATCACCCGCGGTCTCCTCGTCGCCGCGTCGTCCACCACCTGACCCACCACCTGCGGCGGCATCCTGTCCCTCATCATCGAACTCCCCCTGAACTGCCTCCTCAGGGACACCCGAGTCATTGACGTCACGGCCTCCCCCCCCTCCTGTCTCCATCTCCCTCTGTCGACGTTGCTTGTCAAGATACGCAAACCGACCCTCCCATCGTGGCAAACTCCCCAGCTGCTCCTCCTCCTCTTGGTCCAAACGGGCATCCCTCTCCTCCTCAGTCTCAACAGGGCCCCGCACAACGTCCGCGTTGGTGCGCACATCCGACGGTGAGGCACGTTGACGTCCCTCGACACTGAAATCTCCCAAGCTCCCACCAAGCCCTACGACGTCAAAGTCGTCTGTGCGGAGCACCGACGACGAGCGGGGCCGGATACCGGCGTTGGAAGGAGTCCTCTCCCCCCCACGATCCTCGCCGTCATGTGTCCGGTCTCTGCCTGCTGCCGACGCCAACCTCTCCGAACGCCTAAGTGCCTCGGGCCGTGCAGAGATTGGATGATGGGAGGGAGAGAAGCGACGATCGCGAAGGGGCACCTCCTCATCCTCGGTCTCCCCCTCGGCCTCACTGTCACTCCTAACCTCCCAACGCCTGCCTGTCTGTCGAAGACCTCCCCGTGGCTGCTGCACCCCCAAGTCGTCGACGCCAACCTCCGCATGCGAACGTCCTCCACGACCACCACCGGCTCTGCTGCTGCCACTCGCCTGTGCGGTCGACGACACACCACTAGTGATAACTAATGTGAATGAATCCATGCCATCATGACCCCCACCGTAAGTGAAGTACACCCGCTCAGTCGTCGGGTCGGCACTCAGCGGCGTGTCATCATCGTCTGTCCACTCGTCGTTGATGTCGTCGTCTGCCGCAGCACCGTCCACATCATCCCCACCCTCTGGCCAAGGTCGCAGCTCCGTCGCCCTGATGCCAAATACGTCCCAAACCGAATGGGCTCTGGACGGTCGGCTGTCATGGAAAGCGACAATCTGCCGCTGGATCTCCTGCTCGGGAACACTGCCAGCAGGTCGCGCTCCCCACACCTCGGGCTCCACATCTCCCTCCTCGTCCTCATCCTCTGCCGCCGTCCCCCCCCGACCGGTCCCCATAACCCATGGCAACACGTAGCCACCACCCTACCGTGCGCACGAGGCCAGTTTGAGATTGGTGGCAATCTCAACCAGCTGTGCAAGCTTGGCAAACCCAAGCTTGCAGCGCCTCGCCGTGTTGATGCGCTCGTGCTGCGCCTAGTTCCTCTCCGCTGGAGAGGCAGACGTCTACAAGTGCATGACACGGATGGCGATCGTGCGCAACTCCGGGTGGGCACGTCCATGCTCAAACCACCACGCTGCACATCCCTCGGTCTCGCTGTCCCCCCTGCAATCGTCCGCCTCGACATCGGAGAGGTCAACTCCCCAATCCCCTCGCCTCGAGTGGAACGCCCTCATCTGGTCCCTCACGGTCCTGTACAGTCTGCCGACCGAATCTCCGTCGGTCTGCGCCAGGACAAATTTGTCGCACTCCTCGACCACACGGCGGTCGTCGGCGGTCGTCTCCAACGAATGGCAATACGCGAAGGACCCTCGACGAGGGTTGAGGAGGTGGGCCGCAACATGTGCGGGCTCTAGCATGTGGAGGTTGCAGATGGCAACCTCCCGCACGCACGGCTCGATCATGTCCGCCGGCATGTCGACCCTCCTCATCAACTGCAGCACATGTTGAATCTACTCGTAAACGATGGACATCATCATCCCCCCCCTGTCCATCCTGCACAACAGCTGGTGGACGGGCGACATGACAAGGATGGCGTACTGGACACACCGCCAAAACTCCTGGTCTCGGATCTGCTGTTGCACCCACTGCGCCTGAGATACATGCCTGCGCTCCCACGGGATGCGTGCCCAAGCATCCCCGTGCAACATACTCTCCAACACGTCTCGTCGGCCTTTGAGACATGCCAGCATCAGGAAAACCGATGTGAACCGTGTCTCAACGGGCTCGACGAGCTAAACGCAAGGGCTTACCTTCCTAAACAGGGTGTGACCAGCGCCGTGTGATTTAATAAATCGCACAAGCACTCGAGCGCGGATGATGGTGTCCTTGAACCACCCCACTCGCGTCCCAATATCTTACAACATCAAGTTGCAGACATGGGTGGAGCAGGGGAGCCAAGTGATCCTCCTGATGTCGGGCTCGGGGTCAATGGCGAATCTGCGCGCTGCCGCCGTGTAGTTACTGGCGGAGTCTATGCAGAAGCCGATCACGTCCTTTGCAGGAAAGGACAAGATGATGGCCCGCCACCTACGGTACACGATGTCCGCTGTGTCTCAGACTGACCCGTCACATGCGATGGTGGCGTATAGCAGGGCGCCATTGGCACCCCCGGCGAGGAAGTTCACAAGCGGCTTGCCGCTGCGAGACTTCCTCCCATCGGAGAGGATGGTGGCACCGCTGTGCCGGAAAGCGACGCGCACCTCGCTCACCATCGTCGCCACCTTCCCCCTCTGCGGAGGGATACCGGCACCCGCTGTAACCCTGAAGGAAGGAAACCGGAATTGGATGAAGCGAGGCACTCTCTCTGCTGCCTGCCGCACCCTCTGGAACACCGGACCACGGAAGGCGTTGAATGGCAACCCCTTCACGTAGATCCACTGCAGCCATGCGTTTGTGAACTCGGCCAACTTCTCCTTGGCGTACATCTCGTCAATCATCGTCTGCCGATACCTCTTCTCCCTGCCCGTGTCTCGCACCTCGACGCCAGCCTCCCCCACTGCCCTCTTCTCCTTCCTCGCGCACTCCAACTCAGGTGGCGGCGCCATAGGAGCGGGACCCGCTCGACCAACGCCTCTCGACGTCATCACCACCTCCTCCCCTGGCAGATCAGGCTCTCCTACTGCCTAATCTGCCTCGTCTGCCACCCCCCCCCTCCTTGGCCCCACCCTCGCGGCGCTCCTCCTCATCGAGGGCATCCTGAATGTCGTCCCTCTCTCCGTCGTCAGTCCGCTGTCGGTGGCCACCCGCGGGCGCTCTCGTGTCCTGTATCCCCTTGTCCGCCATCCACCTCTGCACCCGCTGAGCAGTGGACGACACGAATGTGTAGTTCGTGCCGTTCCAGAGTTCCGCGAGAACTCTCATCCCCCCAGCCTTGCAGTTTTCGCCTGCGTGAAATGGCGCGCGGCCTTCGACGACCCTCCCTGAAACAGGTGGCCGCATAAGTTGCAACGCAACTTTCGGTCCCCATGCATCTTGTACTGGTCCCCGACGTACTGCCACGCTGTGACGAAGTTCCAAACGATGTTCCCCCGCCTCAACTTTGCCATCTCCCTCTCGGACAGCGGGTTGAACTGGGTACCCCCAGACCCCCCCGCAACGCTGGTCCCTGCACCCCCCGTCATTGCCCCCCCACCCGAATCCAACAAGTCGTTGCGATGATCGTTGATGTCGTCTGACCGTGCCGCACCGTCGACGCAGGCTCCAAAGTCCCCGCTGCCGCCACTGCCCCGCCAAATCGATGTCGCCCACGCCCTTGGCCCCCGTGGACCCCGGCCGGTCGGCCTCTCCCGCAGCGTAGAGCCGACTAGGCCGAATCGGCCCCGCCCGGCCGTGCCCGCCTCATTCGGCCTCGGCCAGCCTTGTTCGGTTGCGGCCGGGCACTAAAATGGTCGCGCGCTGAAAAAGGCCGCGCGCGGCGATGACGACGGCTGTCGGGCGACCAGTTGCCGAAGTCTCGGCGCTGCCCCGCCTGGTCGCGGGGCGCGCACCGCTGCCAACTGCGCAAGAAGAAGCAGAAGAAGAAAATCTCTCTCTCTCTCTCTCTCTCTCTCTCTCTCTCTCTCTCTCTCTCTCTCTCTCTCTCTCTTTCTCTCTCTCTCAACGACCTTTCTCTCTCTCTCTCTCCAGCGGTATCTCCAGCGCAGCAGGTACGTAGTAAACCATTCTTGTCTCTCTCTCTCTCTCTCTCTCTCTCTCTCTCTCTCTCTCTCTCTCTCTCTCTCTCTCTCTCAGCGTGCGAGCAGGCATTTCGGCAGCATAACGGCAACAACAACAACTGTTGCAGTTTCAGATAAATGGCAGCATTTATCTGAAACGGCAACAGTTTTGTCGTGGCCTGGGCCTCGACCCACCGGCCTCCCCACACTGCCCACTGCCCACACGGTGCCCCTCACCCGGTGGCACCGAAATAGGGCCAAAATGGCCCACCGGGCCCTGGTTTTTATTTTTATTTTTATTTTTTTTGCATTTTTTTTTTCTGCGCCGCGCGGAAGGTCCGACACCCAAAAAACAAGTATGGGCGTGTAGGGATTTTCCAGCCCTACACTCCCATATATATATATATCTATTTTTTTTTTTTTTCACACGTGAAAAATAGGGGGAAAAAATCATGCACCGAACTCGGCTGGTCGGCCTATGCCGAACCGGGCCGATTCGGTCATCGGCCTAGGCCGCGGCCGATTCGGAACCCCCGGCCGCGGCCGGGCGTGCAACATAGTCACACGGGACTTGCACCTCATGTCCTAAATCCATCCGGCTGATCCTTAGCTGAGTTAACCTGGATCTTCAAGTACATAGATATGGGTTAGTCATAGGATAAGGTTGGTTGAGGCAATTCATCATATCAAAGGTTATGTCACTCATAAGCCCGTCAATGCACTCATGATTCCCACAACTCTCATATGCCACTAGCGCCCAAGGATTACCGTGCACGTAATTATAATAATAATAATAATAATAATAATAATAATAATAATAATGCAAGGAATTTAAGTAACAGCGAGATGACAATTCTAGATTACACCATCACATTGAACGCCAGATAGTAACATTGTGTCCAGAGAGCAGCATTGCACCAATAATACATCAATGGAGATTCGTAGTATCGAAACCGAGTGTTAATGAGAGCTTGCTCTTGTTACCATCACAATCTGTGCCCTGACCGTTCTCCCTACTTGGCGCTCGGCGCCCAGCCTACTCCTTATACAGCTACTACTAGCCTACTAATTGACAACGCAATTGTTGACATCAGCAGCCAACGCAGTACTTGAAGATGTCACTCGTAGCAGACCATCGCCAAGGCCAGATATGTGCCCCCACATTATCATCCTCGTCTCTCTCTCTCCCTTACATGGTCTCGTGAGTGTGTGTTCGCCTGATCTCTCTCTCTCTCTCTCACCGTCTCTCTCACACTCTCTCTCTCTCTCTCCCCCTTACATGGTCTCGTGAGTGTGTGTTCGCTTGATCTCTCTCTCTCTCTCACCGTCTCTCTCGCACTCTCTCTCCCTCTCTCCCTCATTCACATACACACACACATATGCACAAATGAATATTTCGACGTTACAGCGGACGATTCGACTGATGTCGTCCATCCTTTCGATGGAGATTGCGCAAGGCCAGCCACGGCCTCGCTCACCGAATCAATCGAAGTACATCTCACACACACACACACACACACACACACACACACACACGTAGTGTGTGGTAATGTATATACCCACTTTCTAGTTGTAGATTCATTCGAGTTTATTTTTATTTATTTATTTATATTTATTTATATTTATTTATTTAATTTTATTTATCCTATTGACGTACCATGAGGTAAGCCGCGAGATTGAAGGCTTACCTGTTCTCGCCTCTTCAACGTCGTCGTCGTCGCCGTCGTCGTCAAAGCCGCCGTCCTCCGCCTGCATGCTCAGGTAAGCATTCTTCTACCCCTTTTTTTTTTTTCTCTCCTCCTTCTTCTTCTCCTTCTTTTACAACTCCCTCACGTCGTGATCTCCTTTCCCTTTCTAAATGGGTGCTATCTCCTTTCCTTATTACACATTCACCTTCAACACCATGCTCCTTTTCCTTCATGCGTGCTTCTCCTCCCGCATCGCGCTCACTCATCACACTGCACGCTCTTCTTTTTAGCGCAATCTTAATCTCCTACCCCGGGCTTATTCTCCACCTTCCCGCTGTTGTCTACTCGCTCGTTATCTTATTGTTGTTCGCGTTCATCATTCTCCGTCCCCGTGTTAGTCGTCTCGTTCGTTTTTCCTGGTCACTTTTACTTTTTCGATAGTGTTTCCGTTCTCCCCCCCTCCTTTTCTTCTTCTTCTTCTTCTTCTTCTTCTTCTTCTTCTTCTTTGTCTACTTCCTTCTTCTACTTCTCCTCTCCTCCTTGCGCGCTCTTTTT